GCTGACTTTATTGATGCTAAGATTTTATTCCTCAGTCTCAACCAGCATGTGGTCTGTGAGTGCAGAGAACACCCTAGAGCTGCCTCATAAAGCCTCATAAAGTGGTCTCTGGTGTTGAAACTCCCTGTGTAGAAGCACTGACCTGTTCTCTGTATTCAGTCAGCTTGACAATTTTTAAGTCAAGTGTATTTTTGAAGTGTTGTTTTGCAGGGAGCAGTGCAGAGAGCACAGTCGGACAGCTTTCTAGGACAAAAAAAATCTTTGGCTGAGGAATGAAAAATAAATTGGCCAAAGGATGTTCACTCAAAGTTGCCAGTGGAAGTGTGGTGAGGTGTTTTAACTCTGTCACAGCTCAGTTAGACCCAGTTGAGTTTCCATGCTGGACCAGATCAGTGATCTGGAGAGGCTGGGGTGGATCTTAATACTGGATAGAAGGAAGGTGACAGCTTTGCTAGCTACAAACGATCTAGTAAATGAAGATTTACTATCCGCAGGGAGCAAATGAGCATGGTTTGACACTGGGAGTTTGCATGATTAGCATTTGAGGATGAGTCACCTCCTCAGATCTTGACCCACTGAGTATGCAAATCTTCCTCTTTTTTCTCCTTTTGCAATTCTGTGTTCCTGCCAGGCAGCTTTCTCTAACGTGTTTAACAGAAACAATGGACTGGCCATGATCTCAGAGTTTATAATTCTGTTTATCACACCTTTTTTTTTTAACACTTTGCTAAATACCTTGAGCTTTTTAATTTTTCCTCATACAGAAACTGCCCCTCTGGCTTTCAAGTTACTTCGATTTCTCTTTTTAGGATATTTTTCTACTTCTTTATAAGCCATTTATCTATGTACAACAATGAAGCCTTATGGGTACTAAAGTAAAAGTAAAAAAAAGTAAAGTAAAATAAAATAAGGAAGGTGAAGCACTTCATCTTTCCCCATGAAATACAAATGTCTCACATAGCAGGAGAGGACTCTGTACAAGGGCTTTTCATCAGCCTGCCAATGAAGGAATGACAGAAATTAAAAGATGCTGCATATATTCACCTCTCACTTATTTCTTATTCAGTGTTTACTTTCTTTCTCTGTTGTTTTTTTTCTCTGGTTTTTTTTTTTCTGTTTACCAGAAGTTTCATGTGTCCAGAGAGTGGTCAAGAATGAATAGATAATGGAAAGCAGAGCACAGTTATGCTTACTTACCAAATCCACAACTTTTTAACTGAGTTTGAAACAGCCCCCTAAAACTTTACTAATCAAATACTGCAGATGATTCCTGAGAACCAGAAAATGAAGCTGAGAAGTGAAAGTGGACTAGCAATGCTCTCACTATCCAAGACGGAGGCCATGCCTAGTTTAGAGAGGGCATTAATAGCAGAAACCTAATCCAGTCTTCACATTTCTTTCAAACACCTAATATGCTGTTTTGTGAGGCAGTTTAGTACACAAAAATATTCTGGGTGGAAATCAGGAGCTTGGTACTATTTGTGCAAATACAGTACACATTTAGATTATTGTGGGATTGCAGCCAGGTCACTTGAGAACAAGCATGAAAACCTCATGTTCAGCCTCCTGGCAGGGAGCACTCGTGCCAGAATCATGATTAATCCCAGCATGGATTGTGGGGTGTCACAGTCCTGGCAGAGCTGCCCCTTATGGATGCACACCAGACAGCTGTGTTTGGACCCACGTGCTGGATCTGTGTGCTCCTCTGTTCCCCTGGGCCTGGGCAGGCTCCAGATCCTGACTGTGGCCCTGCTCTCACACACACTTGTTAGGCACACTTTTATGCTTGTACCTACTGTTGCTGCCTCTTTAAGCCCTCTTTTTGGGACCGCTGATATACCACAGAGATTATAAAAAGTTATTTGCATGCTGGCTACGTGCAGTTAATTGACCTACCGTCAGATACAAAACAGAACAAGTGTCTGTATGTATTTTTTTTCCTCTTGGGCCCAGGAGCATTTCCTAGGTTTTAGATGGTGCTCATACCACACTTGGGAGCTATCCATAGTCTTTGCCTTTGTGGAATCCCTTCTATTGACCTTGCGGCTTCACATATGAAAAGCTGCCACACACACTCTCTCTGGCTGTATGTACTCCTCAGATCCTATTTCAAATGTGTTGGGGTTTTGTGGGGTATGTAATACCTGTGCTGAATTGTTCTTCCCTGTCTGCTTCTCCTTCTCTTTAATGTCCAAGTCTCATCCAATGTTTCACTCAACACATGGATCTCATCAATACAGAAGGGAAAATGGTAGAAGAAAGGCTATTCAGGGAAGGGCTTTTCCAAAAAAAAAGGGGGAGATCTGAATGCTTGGCTTCCTCTGATGATTTGGACAAGAATTCTGTCCAGCATTAGGGAAAGTCCTGTAGATGCTGACCCACAGTTTTCTGAATTCAAGAGCTCTCTGCCTAGGTTGCAAGTCTCATGTGTTGATAATATGTTTGTGACTTAAGATACTTGTCTCTTGTGGTCTTGTGTTGTGATTACTATTTGGTTTTTTTCTGTTTTGCTGCTAAGAATATTTTATTTTTTTAGGTTTGGGATGAAACTCTTGCCAAATCTGCAGAGGCTTGGGCTGCTACATGCATTTGGGACCATGGACCTTCCTACTTACTGAGATTCTTGGGCCAGAACCTGTCTGTAAGAACTGGAAGGTAGGCAGATACCCTACAAAACAGTTATTTTGTCAGCCTTCAAACAGCCTTTGAGATCCATATCTTAGACTGATGCAGCTGTCATCCAGTATTCGAGCAACAATTGATATCTATCTATGTTCGTTTGGCTTAAGAGTACTATTGCTTAATACTGTGCCCCTAGTGATGTGTGAAAAAGTGTGTGATTGGGTGACTTGCATCAGAGAGATTAGCAGCAGAAAGTTCAAAAATATCTAAATCTAAAATGACATGTTTTTCTTTCTGTCTTTTAAACAAACCCAGGTATCGATCTATTCTCCAGCTGGTAAAGCCATGGTATGATGAGGTGAAGGATTATGCTTTCCCTTATCCTCAGGATTGCAACCCCAGGTGCCCCATGCGATGTTATGGACCCATGTGCACCCATTACACACAGGTTATATAAATTACATTCTTCTATTAAAAATCTACCGTCCAAAGCTGGACTTTTCTGTGATGTATTTATAGCTCTCTCTCAAATAAATGTGTGTGTGTGTGTGTATTTCTTTTCAACTTGGACTTCACCAATAATAAATATTTATTCAGATGGTTTGGGCCACTTCCAATCGTATAGGCTGCGCAATCCACACATGCCACAATATGAACGTCTGGGGATCTGTTTGGCGACGAGCTGTTTACTTGGTATGCAACTATGCCCCAAAGTGAGTTGTTTTCTTTTAATATTTTTTATATTTACACTTCATGCATGTTTTGGTCTTCTCATAGGACTGCTTACTCCTTTTTCTGCAGTTTGGCCTCTATGTGTGCTTTTTCTGTGGGGTGCTCTGTCATTCTAACTTTCCATCTGAACATACAGCAAATGCATGACTTTTCAGGGAAAAAAAGGAAGTAACTTTATGTGTATGGAATAAAACCAAAAACTTTTTTTTTGTTTTGTTGTTGTTGTTGTTATAATTCTTTTTTTCATCCTCCTTTGTGCTGAATCTACTTTACTTTGAATTCCTTACTTCTTCACTCTTATATATACTTACGGTGAGCTACATGTCCTCAGGTAAGCAATTCCACTGTAGATCAGGCCCTTGATTTACTGTGAACACATGCTGTTGCCCAGAAAATACCTTTGTTAGGACCATGTTGCATAATGGCATCCATTGCATAGGTTTCCTACAAATTCCATCTTCCTAAGCTCAGTGACTACTAATCTCATCTTGTCTTCCATATTAGGGTCCTCCAAAGTATAGGTCACAGGCATCCATAGGTGGTCCTGTATCAGGTAGCTGTGCAGAGATCTGTGTTAGGTTGAAATGAAGAAATGAGTTTTCTCCCAGCATTTCCTAGATATCATTTCAAGCTTACATCTGGGTGCAGACTGAATCAATAAAATGTGTCTCTGGGAGAGCTTTGACTTGAGGTCTGGTTTGGACGAGCGCTTCAAAAGCAGCATGGACAGTGTAAATGTCTGGTTTCTCTGACTTCATAATATTAGACAAAGCCATACTTCTGTATAGGAATCTAAATGTAATTAACTGAGCATGTTTTCCATAAACTCAGTGGCACAGATCCATTTGTGGTAAAGAATATGCAAGAATATGTCATTATTCTAGCTGTTACATGAATAAAAGAATTTTTAAGGATTTTTGCAACTTAAAAAAAAAGATAGGATTTAGTAAGAAAACTGACTTGGACAAAAACCCCGCCTATGGAAATCAAGGAGATTTCTCTGTCCTTTTATCTTTAATGTCTACTTAAAAAGGATGGTAAGAAATGAATATGAGGGATATCAGGCTGTAAAAACTATCTGAATTTTAGCCCCACAACATGGACAAGGTGAACTCAAAGTTTGTAAGAGAAACACAAAGATTATTTTTTATGTATCTCAATTTGAAAGAAAAAATTTAAAACTTCCTAGAACACATTTCTCATGTTCATATATAGGAAAATAATGGTTTTATAAATAAGGCATTATTGAAAACTGATGCATGGTTTGTGTATCAGTTAACAATGTATTGATGACATTTTTCATTTTCTCAGTCTAAAAATCCCACTGTTTCTCAAACACTGAACCAAAGCCTAGAGTTACAAGTTTCTTATCTGGGTGAGATTTTGAGTAGACCTTTGATTCATAGGCAGTGGAATCAGGATTTTCACATCTACTTCTTGCACAGTCACAAAAAGGATATTAAGTGGTCTTGCCTGGCTTAAGTTTATATTCCTAAGAATTAATTAAGTTGAGTTAAGTCCTGGGCACACATGCAGAAATCTCCTTGCCAGTCAATAAAGGCTGTGTCCTACTGAGTAACCAGCACATCAGAAACTCCTCCTCTGAAGAAGAGGATGAATATTACAGCCCAGGCTTGACTTATTAAGGCTGGAATTTGGCAAATATTTAGGATTTAGAACTCCAATAATTTTCACTGATGCCATGCTGTAATGTTGAAAATTATCTATGCTTCTGAACTCAGAAAGAAAAAAAAAGTTAAGGAGGATAGTTACAAAGTTTAGAAAGGCCCTGACTTGGTCATCTAACAGACTCACACAGATCAGCCTTGTGTTGCCTAGCAAATGAAACAGAAACCAGCTTTCAGCAAACTCTTTCTGGTTTTCCATGTCGGTTATCAAACTATATATATTTCCTGAGCACTCACCCTGCTGTACCCATTTGGAAGAGAAGTAGGAATGAGCAAATTATTTGAGAGATTCCTACTTTCTTCTAAGGTACAACCCAGACCAGGGCTTTTGGATTATTGGCTGGGAGGTGGGGGATGAGAAAACGTTTCATAAATAATTGCATTACTCACTGCTATACCACGTCACATGCAAACTAGAGGAAAGTTCTCTGCTCGGTGAGACATAACATTTAAATAAAAATCTAATTTTAACTTTCTTTCAGCCTACATCACATGTGTTGCATGAATCTCTAAAAGCCTGGGGTTTATATAAGCACCTAAAAATCTGGATGTGTTTTTCATATGTTTCTAGATCTTTCAGAGTTACCTCTTTTCACATGGTCACTCTCCAGTCTTGTACCCTTTTTAACCTGTGCTCTATTACACATTGCTATTCACCAGATGGGAACCCCGCCTTTTCCTCCCATTAACACCTATGAACCCCTACAAATGCCTAAATACAGTTCTTTTTAATACATTACTGATGTGAATAGTTTTCATCTCCGTTTTTCTTTAACCACAAATTCAGCTCTAGAGCTTCGCTATCTGCACCGGGGGCAGTGCAACCTGAGAATAAGATTTCTCTCAGTTCATTTTTCTACTATCTGAAAAACAAGCTTTTAAGATAACTGCCAGACAAAAAAAAAGTGCCAAGGAAAATATTACACAAATGCTTATATTGCTAATTTCTCATAAGTGTAACCCTCAGGTAAAAAAATACTCTGTCCCAGACTCGGAGAGTCAAAAATCACTTGGCTGTAGTGAAAGCCAGAGCACTGGGACTTCACCACAGGCACTAAAGGATATGGAATGGACTGTTGGCCTAGGGTAACATGGTCACTGTCTGGCTGGTTTTCGGGAATTGGTAGATCAATGTTTATCAGTTACCTGCAGAAATACCTTAATGTATGTTTTCAGTAACAGGGGATATAACTGAAAACATTAACTTTAATCTCTCAAAACAAGTATGATTTCTTTTCTTCCTCTCTGAAATTGCTAAGCATTATTTTCCTTTTTTTTTTTTTATTTTCAGGGGGAATTGGATTGGAGAAGCACCATATAAAGTAGGAGTCCCATGTTCTGCTTGTCCCCCAAGCTATGGAGGTTCTTGTACTGACAATCTTTGTTTCCCAGGAGTAACATCAAACTACTTATACTGGTTTAAATAAGTTAATGTTTACATTATTTTTTTTTAAAGAATGAGTAACAAAAAGCTTGTATATTGAATTTTGCACATATTATATATGGAGAGATATTGTAATAATACTCTGATGTTTTCATTTTGTATGCTTTTGTGTAATTAGCTTTCGAAGTATAGTGTAATTGGGTTTTAACACTTTGGGATTTAAGACTCACATTAACCCTTTTAGATTAACATTTTGTTAATAGAGAACAAACTAATTGTCACCTTTGCAAGTGTAGCCTCCTGAAGATTAGATTCTGTTAAAAACATGTTAAAAGATAGAATATGTCTTCCTTTTAAAAATAATAGCTCCAGAAAGAGAAGAGTCATTGTTTGATACTCTGCTTCAAAAATGGAGTGTGATGTGTAAAGCAACAAATTGTCCTCATGGTTCCAATGGTTCCTCCCATTTACACCTGTGCTTTGACCTGCAATGTCAAGCGGACTCTGAGCAGAGGAAAACATGTGCAAGAGAAACTGCAGGATATTACCTACCTCATGCACAACATCCATTCATTTATGGCATTCCAGGAGTTCAGGACACTGCTGCTGCTATCATCAATGATAGTGCAGACAGGAAAATTAGAGAGAATGAGGAGCCACACTGGCCAACATGCAGTGTCTGTAAGCTTGTATGCCTAATGTCTTAACTCAATAGAAAGCTACATCACTTTTAAGATACTGGTATAAGAACACAGCCTAACTCTACCTTCCTGTTTTTCTAAACACAGTCATAATGGTATAGTGGTGCTTTGCAGCAGTATATTTATTCTTGTATAGAAAAGAAAAGAAATATTGGGTTGGCCAAAAAGTAATCACATTGTTTTTCTGAGTAAATGAAAGGCAAATTTTTCATGGGAAACAAAACCTGTATTAAACGATATATTGTCCATTTTGTCCAATTATCTTTTGCCATCTTTCAGGCAACTTCATGATTCCACAGTCAGAAAAGTTCTTATCTTTTTTTGGCAAAAAACAGTACCAAGAACAATTTTATATCCTCAGCAGCAGTGAAGGTTCTACTACTCAAGGCGTTTTGTAAGAAATGAAACAAATGGTGGTCTGATGGTGCCAGGTCTGGCAAAAATGGTGGATGTGGTAACACATCCCATCCAAGCTGCAACAAGTTTTGATGAATGACCAAACGTGGTCTAGCGTTATAATGGAGAAACACAGTAACTTTGCAATTCACTTCTGTTTGATGGCATAATTTAATTTATCTGGTTGAAGACAGTACCCATCCAAATGAATGGTTTGGTTCCTTGTAAGCAATGCAAAATACACAATGCCTTATAAATCCCACCAGATTGGCAGCATAACTGTCCTTTGGTGAATATCTGCTTTTGAAGTGCTTTGAACGGGTTCATCATACCTGCTCTATGATCTTTTTCATTTGTCATTGTTGTAGACAATCCACTTTTCATAGTCTGTTATCATACGTTTCAAAAATGAATTGTTCTCCTCACGTTTCAAGAGAGAATCACAGATGTCAAAGTGCTTAGTGAGATGAATTTCTATGAGCTCGTGTGGTACCCACATATCAAGCTTCCTAATGTATCCAAGTTGTTTTAATGGTTTTCAATGCTCAATTTTGAGGTGTTCAGATTATCAGCAATCTCTTGTGTTGTTAAATGTAAATTGGAGTTGATCAGTGCCTTTATTGTGTTGTTACAAACTTCAGTTGACTTTCCTGAGCATGGTGCATATTTAAAATCAAAATCTCTGAACAGAAATTTAGCAAACCAATTCTCACACTGCCGTAGTTTTAAGGCGTCTTTACCATATAAATCACATAACTTGCTATGAGCTTGCACAGCATTATTTCCTTTTGAAGGAATTTTTTTTCTTTCCTTTCTGAAGTAATGCAGCCAAATATGATGAAAATGCTCCTTTTGATTTTCCATTTTTAAATTGATGCCTAATAAATGTTAACAAAATCATGCACTTCCTTTTTCTAAGGCAAGCCTGAACTGTCACCTGCCATGTTACATAATGAATTTGTGGTTTAAAATGAAGTTAGTTACATTTCAAGACTTGTATGTCCATCTGTTAAAAAATGCAATTACTTTTTTGCCAACACAATGTATTGCTATAAAGCAACATATATCAATACATTACTTCCATACTGTCTTTTACACTATAAATTTGCCAGGGTACATGCTATGTCTCTGACTGAAAGTCAGCCAGGTGAAACATCCAAGGCAAGATCAGTCATAGAAGCAGATAAGAGGATTTCCAAATAGAAGATGTCAGAACAGAAAATTCATACAGAATTGTGGCAAAATTTATAAAACAATTGGGAGTGCCCTTTAAAAGATATTGCAGTACTTCCTGAAAATATCTGTATGAATTAATAAAAAACAGATCTACTTATTCATACCTTTCCTGCCAAAAGCTGAATGCCTCATGGGTGTTTACTAGAATGTTTCTAAAGAGGACCTACCTGGACTCATAGAATGGTTTGGGTTGGAAGGGTCCTAAAGATCATCTAGTTCCAACCCTCCTGCCATGGTCAGGAACACCTCCCACTAGACCAGGTTGCTCAAAGCCCCATCAAACCTGCCCATTTTAAGCTAGAATATTATACAGTTGATTTTCTTGAAAAATGGATTCTAAAAAGGTGGAAATTGAATGTCTGCCACAACTACTATGTAATTGAAATAGCCTTGTGTTTTGGCTTTTTATTACAGGGCAGAATGTACTCCACTTTAAAGATATGTGTTTAGTCTGTTTGCACTACTGCATTTATACTTCTGAAATGCGTGAACTTTGAAAAGTAATACTGAGTGAAGCAAGCAGAACAACAGAGGATAATTTCACTAGTGCTACGTATGTGTGTGTCTTTAAGTCACTAATTCAGTCTGTTTGAGGGTGTTTGAGACTGACACCAAAATATGAAGTATCATATTGGTAATATAAAAAGAAAGATCAGAGTTTGAATTCTTCATGTTAAGTTATTCTTTTTCTCCAGCAAGATAGCTGTGGTGGGGAAATGGTCTCTACAGTATATGAACTGTAACAGCCTTTCTCCGTCAAATCATAATCTGATCCCTCAGAGAATGTCAGCAACTGATCTGTGGCTCTTCAGACATTTCTGGTTAGTGACGCTTCTGTATCTGACAGGACAATAACTAGACAAGCATATTGTCTTAATGTTTTAAAAGAACAACACTTGTAATGTTCTACTAACTTCTATCCTAACAATTACAATATAAATGGTTTTGCTTTTGGTTTCAAAAGAGTTTAGACTTGGACAGTGCTCAAGCAGTCACACACTTTGGCTTAGTAATATCCAGTCCTGTTTTGGGAGTGAAACACAACCTCTTTGCATCATCTATGTACACGTTGAAAGAATTCAGTGAGACAAAACTATTAGGTGGGTCACTAGCCCTCAGCCAGCCCAGTCTTTGGCAAAGATGCATGGGACAAACACATTTTTGTTCTGCATAAGAAATCTTCTCTAGAGGTAAAGACAGCACAGTTAAAGCAATACACCTAGCCATTTTCACTACTTTTTAATAATACAAGATAGGAAGCAGAGCATGAGCAAAAGTTCAGGTTAAGTCGTGGAGCCTACAACAGTAGGTCCAACGATAAATGACTATGCACTTTGGAACTTGCAGCTTGTATGTTGTATGGTACACTTTCCAAACAGGACTAGACATTGTAAATTAATTTATAATTCTGTAATTCAGCTGAAATTATTATAACGGGTATATATGTTATCGTATCTGTTACTTTTTAAGTTGCTAAAAATACCTTGATTTTGTGGAATATTTTGTTTTCTGTGGATCTAGAAAACTTTGCTTTTAACAAACAGGTATGCAGGTTTTTTCACAACATCCCATAATGGTGCTAGGGATTAACTATTGTAATCACACTGTAACTGACAACAGCAAAAAATGATCTGGGTATAAGCTATTTCATATGAGCAGCTCCTGATAAAACCAGTCACAAGCACTCAAGCATTAGCTGAATATTTTGAACAAAGGGGATTACAGCTCATCAGATAATTGATGACCAGACAAAATTTCCCCTTCCATTTTATTTAATAAGCAGTTTACTGAAGACCTTTCTGTATTACCTATTCGAGTCACCCCAATTTCTGTCTTCTTTTTGCATTTTGGTTTGGTAATGCCAATGCCAGTAAAGCTCTACTTTGATTGCCAGTGTCAGTGCTGCCTGATTGATTACCTGACACCAAGTGCTGTTAGAACAAAAGTAGAGAAATGTGCAGAAGACTTCAGATGTCTTTGGCAGTATGTCTGCTCTTCTACATACTTAGGAAAATTGTTGATGAATTCAAGGTTATGCTGAGGCAAATTACCCCCAGCTGCTGTTATGCTAACCTGGAAGAATTGTACTAATTCCTTCCGAGCAGAGTGGTGTGCCTTTAAAGACCAAGAAATTAGCTCAGACTTTTGTTCTATTCTAAAATATGAAATTGTGAAAGTAGACACACACTAAAATAAAGCTAAAACTATTTTTGGTCAAAATACTGTGAGAAGCATAAGAGTAAAAATGAAGTAATTGATATAATTAATTATTGAGTGCAGCGGTTTATAATATCTGCTTGTGATTTTTTTGCCTCATTTAGACATCTAAGATGATGGGTAGCAATTGATACCTTTTGGTGCTAACCTACATGTACTGGTGCTGAAGTTATACGTTATTTTTGTGGCAGATGAGGTTTACTTCCAATATTACCATATACACTCCAGTGTTTGTGAGATCTTTTTCAGCTAAGCATATCATTTACTACCACTGGGCCAGATTTGCTTTTTGTTCCTTTTTGTGGCTGTTTCAGGCTCTAATGAGAGTTTTATGTGCATCAGAGAGGAAAATGTATTCCTGTTCAAAACCAAAACAAACATCAACCTCTCCTCATCACAGCAGTGAAATGCCTGGAGAACAAATTATGGAGAGAATAAGACCTCTGACAGTCATGACTTTAGACTGATGCTGAGCAGGTTTTAGTGATCCCAGATCCTCTGCGGTACTAAATGACTTCAGAAAATCTGGGCTTGACCTTGCCCAATTATCCTTGGAAAGCTGTGTGTTCCTCTTCTCTTCTCTGAGATCAGTTTGTTCCCCTCTGAATTTGAGATGAGTTGGATTAGGCCTCAGTGAAAACCATGAGAGATTTAACATAACTTTTGCGAGAGTCAGAAAGTTAGATTCCGTGAGAGTTTACAGACAGCAAAATTAGACTTCAAGTGCTTTTTCCTGCCAATAGTGGGAAACACCATGGGATTCTGAAAGAGGAAACCTCCCAGAG